AGAGAGAGAGAGAGAGAGAGAGAGAGAGAGAGAGAGAGAGAGGCATCAGTACAGGAGAGCCTATACAAAAGAATTTTACAAAAAAAATGATTAATTAGATTAGACCTGATATACATGAGCCAATATTTCAAGGGCAGAAGTAACACGGGATGGTAAAATAATCTTTCTTTTCTTCCAGAATTTGCTATAAGTCTTTGGCTTTAGCATACTTTGAATACACAATTTTATATAAAAGCCTACAATTATTCAAAATATGTATTATTTTAAAAATACATTATTTGTTAGCATTCTCTGTGTCTTATTCTTGTCTACACTATATTCAATATACAATTTTCTATTCATTCACATATTTTAGGGAAGTTTTTTCAGACTTTTGTAACTAGAGGCTTATCATCAATAAATAAAATAATTTTCCCATTATATTTTAGGTTTTCTTCACTTTTAAAATATCCCTAAATTTGAATATTTTGAAAATTATTTATGAATATACAAAAGTACAATTTTTGTCATTATCTATCTAAGCAATACTTATTGATAAATAAGCTGAAAATATTTTTTGTACTCTGGAAAAGTTAGTTACTGTTTTATTTAAGAGACACTCTATCAGAATATAAAAGTGAAATCTCATTTTCTCTTCTTGGTTGCAAAGTATAATAATTATTCTTAATCAGAAACAACTTTACTATACACCCAAGAATTATTTTACATGGTCATTTACAGACTACCTGTATATGTGATAATAAAACTGTGGTGCGTTTATGCTTAGAATATCTGAATAAGCCACTTATTGTGTTGCATGATTTTTTTTCATAGTGTCTAAAATTTAGAGACAAACTAAAAACATAAGTATATAAAATACAAAAGCAATGACTATATTAAGTATTTTCAAGAAATGAACATTTATGTTTATGTTATGTGATACAGCATGTTATGCACTATGTTATAATACAGCATTCTTGTGCTGTATTGAATGATAAATATTTTATTATAACTACTTGGAGATATTATATTCTTCAGTATGGGGAAATTCATATTAAAAATTTGAACTTTTAAACATTGAGGAATAGATTATTAAAACAAAGACAGTCTCTCTACTCATGGGTCAGTGACAATAATTATGTTAGCATCAGGGCTTTCAAACATCTTTGTTTTTACCTCTAATCATGGTATTCCTTCAGTTTTTAGTGTTGTGACACACATTTTCTCAGACTGCATCCATCCTTAATATAGGTTTTTTTTTGGGGGGGGGTTCATTGATATTTTGGGAACCATGCCCCTCAGGCTAGGAATTTGTGCAGAATTATTCTGATGTGAATGCCAAGGAAATCCCTTAAAATCAATGGATAACTTTAATCTTGTCCCAAGGGTAACATAATTATTGTCACTGTGATGAAGATGCGCAATAAGAAAAACTTAGAGGAGAAAATATTTATTTTGAGTTTTGGGTTTCAAATGTTCACTCCATAATTGGCCGCCTTCATTACTCTGGGTATCGAATGAGGTAGAACATCATGGCAGAAGGGTGTGGTAGAGGAGCATAGCTTCAGGGTGGCAAGCAAAAGAGACAGAGAAAGGAGAAGGGTCCGCAGGGAAGAGGAATCCTTCCCTGAGAGGACCCCAATGACCTACAATCTCTAGTCATGACCCAAGTGCCTACAGTTATCAAATAGTCCATTCAAACCAGGTTGGACCAATTATGTAACAGCTCTTATAATCTAATAATTTTACCTCCAAACATTTCTGCATTAGCATAGGATATTTTGGGGGAAACTTCATATCAAAACAATACTATTCTTCCTCTGACCCTCAAAAAATCATGCCCATGTCATAATGCAAAATACATTTAGTGCATCTCCTAGATACTGTCCTAAGTCAAAAGTCTCACCAGAGACTCAAAGCAAACTCTTGGATGTGAACCCATGAAACAAATCAAAAGCAACTTTCATATAACCTACACATAATGCACAGAGTAAATATTTATATTCCAAAAGGATGTGTAGGGGCAAAGAAAGAAGGGATTGGACAAAAATCAAGATCTAAACCCAGCCAGGCAAACAATCTCTATAGCTCATCTTCTAGTATATGGGGTACATGGTAGCAAAATATGATCTCCAAAGGGCATGGCCAGCCCTGCCCCTTTGACTTTGCTGGTTGAAGCCCATGTGGCCTCTCTGTTAACCTGCTTATTTACTTGGTCAGCAGATGTTCTCTCCTACTGGCACTTTTTTTGGCATCTTTTAATCCTGATGCAATTTTGGCATAACCTTCAAACAAAATTCACCTTCACACAAAATCTCCAGACATGAACAAAATGTAAACAAGTGTTTTTGCCAAGATATAACTCAAATGATCTCTGGTCCAATTCCCAACAGAATTCTCATTCCCCTCCGAAAATTCATGAGCAAAGTCTTTGGTTTTCCTCATTCATATCTCCATTCTGTGTCTTCTAATCTCACACTACAATTGCCCATTAAGCTCCATATGCAGTGTTCTAAGTCTTCTCCAGTTGTATCCTCAAATTTTTTGGATCTTCTGCCACAAATCAATACGAAAAGCTAAAGCACATGGTGTTATTAGTCACAGCAGAGACTCCACTTCTTCACACCAGTTTCTGTATTCATTTTTTCTTGCTGTGACCAAAATATGTAAAGAAGAACTAATTAGAAAAAGAAAACTTAATTTTGAACTCCTTGTTTCAGAGTTTCAACCAATGCTCAGTTGGGTTCATTGGCCTGGGACCCAAGGGAGGTGAAACATCATGGTAGAATGGTGAAGCTGAGGATCACTTCTCTGCTGGTGGTGGTTGAGATGCAGAGAGAGATAGGAAAAGAGTCTCAGGGAAGAGGAAACTTCCAGAGTGTAACCCCAGTGACTTACCTTCCACCTGCCTACAGTTACTATTGTGTTAGTCCACTAAAAGTATGAAAGACCAATTAGCTTTGAGCTCTCATAATCAAATGATTTCATTCTTGAATAGTCTTGCACTAACATAGGATCTTTCTGGAAACACCTGAGATCCAAATAATAAAAAAGCAGATAACACATTTCAATTTTTTTTTCCTTTTTCTTTGTCCATTTCTTTGATGAATATTTTTGTTCAGTGGCCAACAAAACAAGTAATAAAGTCAAGCAGAAAAAAAATTGATTTAATAGATATTTTCAGTAATTGCATTTTCATTTATAATTGACATTTAAGCAAACTACATGAAAAAATAAAAATTGAGAAGAATTTCATTATAAATAGCATCACTCTTAATCATGCATTATAATCATACCTAGTAGTGAGATTTGTCATGCCATATTGATACAGACACATAGCATTATTTTATTGTTCTTATTCTTTCGTGCCTTCCCTTTATCTCTCCTCATTCCTCAAACAGGTCCAATTTTTCTACTTTATCAATCTCCTTTCTGTTACTATTATTATTCTAATTAGCACATGATAATTATATGTATAAGTGGGATTCTTTGTGGTATAGTCCTATGTGGACAGAGCATAATTTGGTAGATTTTATTCCCCTGTACTTTCCCAGGCTCTCCCATCCTTCCTCATGTTGCCTTTTTCTGTACTGAAATAGCATCATTTTAAATTACAGGCTGTTAAATCACAGTGTACAGTTACTCTGTTAAAGAGAATTAGAAAGTAAAATTGATTTACACTAAATATGAAAATATTAATTATTAGAGAATAAATATTCTATATGAATACATGTTAAGCATAATCTCTTGAAAGAAAAAATCAAAACCCAATTCAACCATACAGTTTAATGAAATGTTAGTATTTAGAACTTGGAAAATGCCTTTGATTGTAAAATTATGCTTAGGATATGAGAAATATAACAACAGTATTAAATAGAAGCTAGTTTTTCATATGCTGATGAGTATTCCTAGATTTGATGATTTTGTGGAAAATTGTAAAAAATTGCAATCTGACACTCATGAATAATTATTTAGTTCACTCTTGAATTATCTTATGACATTTAATTTTGAAGTATATTTGTGCACACACAATCTCTTTGGAACTAATATCTAATAACTAATATTTGCATCAAATATCATCAATATTTTAATAATTTAGTATTCTCAGTATGAATATGTGCCATTTTCTCAGTATTTGTAGGTTTAGAAAAGATGGTATCAAGTTCCAGTAAATTTTTAAGGAGAGATGCTATATGTTATAGAAAGTTACAAAATTGACTTTTGCTTAAAAACCTTTTTATAGCATTTATTACTTCCTTGTTTCTTAGAGTATAAATAAAAGGGTTTAATAAAGGAACTATTAGAGTATAAAAAATAGCAACAGGTGTATCTTTGTCCCCTTCTTTAAATGAACTTGGTCTGGCATACACAAAGAGAAGAGAACCATAGAATATGGAAACAGAGAGAAAGTGGGATGCACAAGTAGATACAGCTTTGCCCCTTCCCTCTTTGGATTTCATTGCAAATATAGTGAAAAGGATATAGAGGTAAGAGATTACTACTATGGTAATAGTACAGATTAGAAGTGACCCTGCCAACATAAGTACCATCAATTCATTGATATAAGGGTCAACACAGGAGAGTCTATATAACGGAAGGATATCACAAAAATAGTGATTGATTTGATGAGACCCACAGAAAAGCAACCTAAATAAAAGTCCTACTTCAATCATGGGATGCAGGATTCCAGCTATGTAGGCTCCTGTGGTCATCTGAATGCAGAGTTTCTTTGACATCAGGGTGTGGTACTGCAGTGGTCTGCATATGGCCACATAGCGGTCATAAGCCATTGCTGCCAGAAGAAAGGAGTCTGTTGATTCAGCAAAACAGAGAAAATAAAATTGTGTGATACATTCATAGAAGGAAATTCTTCTGCCCTGGGAAAAGAAGTTCTGTAACATCTTGGGAGTGATGGCACTGGAACAGAAGGAATCCATGAGAGCCAGGTTGCCCAGGAAGATGTACATTGGTGTGTGAAGACGGCGCTCCATGTAAATCAAGGCCACCAACCCTAGATTCCCTACCATGGTGACCAGATAGATGACAGAGATTACCACAAACAAAAAGGTCTTCAGATTTGGGTTATCTGTAAATCCCATCATGATAAATTCAGTTGTCATTGAGTGGTTGTCTTCAGTCATCTCTGTGTTGTCTGTTGAAATAGGAATTGTTGAGATATAAGATTCTAATTGAAAGTATCTAATTTTTCTCTCTTTTTTATAGCATGTAGGGAAATTTCTTCTTTATCATTCCCTGCTATTTCCATCAGACAGCTCCACATACTTCTAGGGTCTTTTGTTCCATTGAAGAGTCAGCATCTATAACCTAATGCTGCAACTCTCAAAATTAACAGGTGTATTTTGATAATCCAGGGATGAGGTTTAAAGTGGAGAAGTTTATCATTCAGTATTAATGCATAATAGGATAAAAATTTGGCCCAATTAATTAATTTCCCCCAATAATTTTAGTGTGAGTGTTTAAGACTATAAAATACCCTGGTTGTGGTGGCACCCACCTGTAATCCCAATGATTTGGGAGGCAGATTCTGAAGGATGGCAAGTAGGAGGCTGTGTGAACAACTTAAGAAGATCCTGTCTCAAAAATAAAAAAAATAAAAATAAAAAGGACTAGGGAAGTAGCTTGGTGGCAAAGCAAATATGGGTTTAGTCCCCAGTATCCAACAAACAAAAATAAAAACATACCCAAAATAATGTTAAAATAAAGTTTCCTATAAACACATGTTTTTTAAACTAAGAAACAGTATTTTATACATACTACTGGAAAAATGAATATTTTAACATATATTATACATGTTAATTAGTCTGATTTGCAAAACAGTAAGGACTAAAGAGGATACTTATCTAGAAGAAAAATTAACATCGAAAGCAAATGGTATAAATTTTCATAGATCATCCCTCTTTGATCCCTTTTTCCAATGTTACACCCATTCATGAACACTCATTCTGTGAATTCCATTATTTTCATTGATTTATTTTTTCCAAATTCTACATTATTTCTTTTTTTTCCTAAGGCACAGTTGACATGTAATGCTACTTAATCAAATTTTAACTGAGTATTCTAGATCCCACTGACCTCATTTTTTAAATTGTAGAGCATATGTTCTTTTCCCAACACAATCTACAATTTTTCATGTATTATCTAAATTTCATTACTCATTTACATGTATGTACACAATTTCCTTATTATAATAATTCCCAGACTAGTTGTAACATACTTCTATAAAAGGAGATGTACAATTTTATGGGGAGAAGGCCAAATTAAGTCCAATTGACTTAATTAGGTTTGTTATTGGTGAACAAGTATAGGTCACCTACTTTTCAGTTTCTTACTCATGATCCCTATTGACCTCTTTGCCTCTGCATACTTAACCTGTTAGTTTTGAGAAATTTTTCAAAATCATCATCTTAAGAAATTAAAATATATATCTTTTATCTAAATTACCTCTTTTCTATTAGAACATGATCTAAATTCTTGAAAGTTTACCATGGTAGAAGTCAAGGAAATAAAAACAGATTAACCTTTATACTTCAGTTTTATCACTTGAGAAAAAGATAAAATGCTTTACATCTAGACAGAAAATTAGAATTCAAATTTTGTCTTGCTTTTAAAGTTTATTTCCTCTTATTACTTAATGATCTGATGGGGTGTGTTGATTGAAAAATCTAATCATATAAATTCTATTATCAAAATGTGTTTGTATTTCTAAAGTCAAAACATTAAAAGGTAGTAGATTAGTTTTTTCTCAAATATTAAAATAAGCCAAAATATTAATGTAAGCCTGGTAATAAGTTAATTAAATATAAACAGCTTTAAATGAATGTCTAAATTATTTAATATGCTTTTTGGTCTAACATTTGTATTTGGGAATTATATGTTATAATTGGAAAATCAGAAGATCATAACATTGTATATTATCTTAGTTAACAACATTGTTGAATTTTGAGAAGTTAGAGAAATAAATAAGAAATTAAAATTTAGAAATAATAAAAAATGGTAAAAAAGAGTAGTAAATATTTACAGTTACTGAAATTTAAATTCAGACACATCTTTACCTAGAATGCATTGAGAAGAGTTGAAATTGCCATGTTTCCTCTCAGAATTAAAGAATATATTTCTGTACATTTTTGCTAATATTTGGGATGAACCAAGGAAACTCTGAGACTATCTTTATAAGTCAGTGTTGATCATATGTCTGTACACTGCCAAGTTAAAAAATTCCATCAAATCCTAAAGGGATTTCATTGCACTTAAAGCAGTGTAATACTGTGCTGATATTAAGTCCAAAAACATACGAACCACTTGACATTCATTAAAGATGTCCTATGAGACAATAAGATTAAGCAAATGAGGTTTACCAAAGTCCATTTGATCCTGCTGATTTTTTATTTAACTGATATGGTTTTTTACAATTCTCTTCACCATGCTATTCATAAAATATAAAACAGGCAGGAAATAGTCTCAAGATCTTGGAACCCCTTTCTGGAGGAAGTAGAATTAATATGGTTTATAAAAATAAATAACTTTGGAGAGTAAACTGTGAAGTATGATAGCTTCAGTCAACGTCATCAACTTTGCGCTCTGTACTTAGAATGCCCATGTCCTAAACATATTCACTGGAAATTCGATTTTATTATTTGTTCTGTATAAAAATGCCTGAGATTGTTCTCCTGTATTTTCTCTTCATACAAAATGTCTTTTATCTTTCTTATCCTGCTATTATCTATTCTTCATAATGCTAATCACTTTTACTAATTATGCATTTATTTGTGTGTACATTGTAATTGGTCACTCCTTTCCCACCCCACAATTAGTGCTATGGTTTAGGGAGAAGGGATTTCTTTGATAAGTTCAATTCTCTATTTCCAATGCTCTGAATTCTTTGTCATTTTGTAGTGCTCATTGTTTGCTGAATGAATTTAAAAATTGATACTTCCCTGCTCAATAATTTAACAGAACCTCATTACTTTCAAACCAGATCCATTTTTCTAACTTTGAAATTTTAGATCTTTCTGTATCTTGTCAATTTGCTTTCTACTGTACACCAGAAGGAAGATGGCCATGTGCATCACTTCCCTATTCCTGGTGTACCTGCTTCAATCTATACAATAGCAATGTTCCCAAACCTAAAATAATCTCTTCCTTCTTTTTTTTAAATTCCAATCCTCCTTGTTTTGAGCTCAAAAATAAACTTTCCCTATTTTGTGTAATCAAATTGATTTTTTCCTGTATTCACTTAAATTGTACTTCCTGCCTTCATACCACAATGTCTACTTAATCAGGTGTGATATTTTTATGTCTCTGGTTTGTGTAACTGTATTAAATGGTCTTAAGGTAGATATCATTCCATAGTTGTTTTGGGGTCTTTGCAGCAAAGTTAGCTAAATCTTTAATATATATCAATTTGATTACTAAATTATGTACAGGACATTAGCAATGACAATGGGTAGAGGGGACAGAGAATAACTTAAAGATGCTTGTGTTTACCTGGGTTCCTTCCCTGTCCTCTATTTGCTTTCAATCTAGAATAATCCCTTGATTATCGGTGCATCTAGAGTTTCAATTTTCATCTATCTGCTTGTGAGTTCAATAGATAAGAGCTTGCAACCATTTTTTTTGTAATTTGATATTAATAAACTTTTTCAAAATTCTTGATATACATGCCTGTTCCACAATAAAAGGTAGCAATATACTATAAGGCTATGTATATTCCAAAATATACAAATAGGAATAAAATATTAAAATTGAATGATAGAAATGTAATAAAATTTTTATTTTTATATGAGTGATACAAAATAATTTTTTACTATTCATATACTATTATTAATTGATATAATAATACAACATTTGGAAAAAATGATCATGTGTGAATTACTATTTTTAAATGGTTGTGTGATATAGCAGTTCAAAGATTTATTTCCATTTATTTTCAAACTTTTATTTTCAAAAATTTATTTTAACTGGCATATAGTAATTGAACTTTTGGGGAGCACCAGGGGTAATTTGACACATTTTAAAAATATGTATCTAACAAATCAGGGTAGTTACAATTTTCAACTTCTCAAACATTTTCATCTCCTTGTGTTTGGAACCTATGAATTCCTCTCTTCAAGTTGTTTAGAAAAATTATCATAGATTGTTATGAACTGTGGTCATATGCTGTGCTGTAGAACACTAGAAATTATTCCTTCCATATATTTATGTTTTAGTTCACATTATGCCACCTTCCTTTGTCTCTTCTTCCCGATCTTTCCTAGCTACTAAGTATCACTATTCCACTACCACAACACGTGACTAAATTAGTCTGGGTCACTCCAGGTGTATTTCGGTTGACACAAAATAATCACACAGAAACAGAGAAAATACATTTTTCTTGGGGTCCAGTGACAGCTCTTGATCTTAGGGGTCTGTTGGAAAGAGAGTAAGCCATCTTAATCCTTTATTTTTATAGAGGGGGACACAGAAGGAGTTTCCATGAAATGTTCTTTTCAGATAAGGCAAGGGATCAGGTTTCCAGGGGCTTGACTCTAGCTTCTTGATGTCTTGTGGTAGTAGATTGATTGACATCTTGGCAAGTCACATTCATCTTAGATGATGTGTGGGAACACAGGTAGAGCTAGAGGAAAGTGCACACATGTGTTGCACTAGTTTAAGATATGGATATCATCCATATCTTAGCTATTGTGAATGGTGCTGTAATAAACATGGGAATGCAGTCATTTCTTTGATAAACTGATTTTATTATTTTGGATAAAATTCAGATGTGAAATAAATGGATGATATGATAGTTTTATTATTTGTTTATGGTGAAACTCTGTACTGATTTTTGTAATGGTTGTACTTATTTATATTTTGCTCAACAGAGTGTAAGAATTTCTCTTTCTCCACACCCTTGTCAACATTTTGTGTTTTCATCTTTTTGATGATAATCATTCTAACTGAAGAGAGATGATATCTTAATGTGGTTGTGGTTTGCGTTTTCCTGATGGCTAGTGATTATAAACATTTTTCATATCATTGACCATGGATATTTCTTCTTTTGAATATATCTATTGTATCATTTTTTTAATCTTTAAATCAGATTATTGGTAATTTTTGTTTTTATGTGGACTCTCTCTTGCCC